AGAACAAGGTTCACCGCCTCCCGAAATGAGCATGTAAATATGTGCACATAGGACTAACAGCTAAATACCGACACAAACAAGAAAGACATGGATTAAGTTATTTTTGGTTGATCTGTCCTTGTCAACGGATCCTCATCGCATGTGTCGGGATTCCTTTCCCTTTAAGTGAATGGCAAATCCAGCAAGTCCTTTTTGCACCTACAAATAGAAACGGCTTCCACTACATGCAGAACGCTTTTACGAGGGCCTCTCATATCTCACACCAGTGAGCCCACAATAAATGCGGTGATTCCCAGTTCTGGCGTTTGCCACTCCGACGACGATAGTTTGACAGCCGTGCACGATGGTTTCCGCCGTTAATAGCAAAGAGGCGAGCTTATGGAGGCGGTTCAGCTGAAGAAGATGCTATCGCCGGAACAGGACGCTTTTTGACACGGCGTCTTTAGATCGTCCCATGAACGCATCACCAGAAACAGGTGCCAAACCGGTAACCAAGTGAAAACGAGGTACTTTGAGCCCATGAGGGCGAGAACGATACAAAATTACTTCAGCAGAGGGAGGCCAAATGCACGTGCGAACAGAGAGAGAGAGATTCGAAAATTGGTACTGCAGCAAGCTGTTTTGTCTAATGTTATCTGAAGACGAAAAACTAGTGCACAACCTTTCGTCAAAGCACCTAGCAGAGAACAAATGCATGTGTTTAGGCGTGAGGCCGCATTTCACACAGCTGACGCCAAATCTGCCAACATGATTGCAGCAGTGGAGTCAGTCCTCGGCCAGACGGAATCGACAGACGCAACGGATAGCCTTATTAGACAGCTAGCGTCATTCAACCTCATAGCTTTCTGGCCAAGGGAAATGCCTTCGTAGGTCGAACGCGATGCACAAAAGAAACTCTAAGCCGACAGATCTATCATCGTTGTGCCTGCGAACAAGGGGCGTACCACTGTCGTACTGGTCAGGGCGTCCTACCGTCAGGAGGCCAAGATATTACTGGAGGATCGCCAGTTCTATGTCCCATGCGTAACCGACCCCGCGAAAACGTTGACACGCGAAATCAGTGCAAAGTCATTGGCAATTGAGAGCTCAGGTGCAAATAAAGGACCACGCAGATCCCAGGAAATTGGTCTCAGGGAAAAAAATTGCGAAAGGAGCGACTGAATAATTGAGAAATGTTTGCGCAGTGTCTGGTATATTTATACAATGCGTCTGTCGATTCCGTCTGGCCGAGAATTGAATCTACTGCTGCAAGCATTTTGGCATATTTAGCGTCAGCTGTGTGAAATGCGGCCTCCCGCATATAAACCTGCATAAGTTTCTCTGCCAGGTCCTTTGTGCACTAGGTTTTCGTCTTAAGAAGTCATTTGAAAAAACAGCTTACTCCGCTCTCTGACCGCACGTGCATTTGGCCTCCCTCTGCTGAAGTAATGTTGTATCGTTCTCGCCCTCATGGGCTCAAAGTACCTCGATTTCTCTTGGTCACTGCTTTGGCACCTGACTCTGGTGATGCGTTCGAGGGAGAATCTAAAAACGTCGGGTCAAAAAGCCTCTTGTTCCGATGACAGCATCTTCTTCAGCTGAACCGCCTCCATAAGCTCGTCTCTTTGCTACTAACGGCGGATAACATCGTGCACGGTTGTCGAACTGTCGTCGTCGGAGTGACTGAATGCGGAACTGAGAATCACCCGTAATGACCGATTCTTAACCCTGCCTTTATTGTAGGCTCACTGGTGTGAGATATGAGAGGCCCTCGTAAAAGCGTTCTGCATGTAGTGGAAGCCGTTTCTATTTGTAGGTGCAAAAAGGACTTGCTGGATTTGCCATTCACTTAAAGGGAAAGGAATCCCGACACATGCGATGAGGATCCGTTGACAAGGACAGATCAACCAAAAATAACTTAATCCATGTCTTTCTTGTTTGTGTCGGTATTTAGCTGTTAGTCCTATGTGCACATATTTACATGCTCATTTCGGGAGGCGGTGAACCTTGTTCTCTAAACGATCTTGTGACATAATGTGTGAGGCATATGAACCTGGCTTATTACAGAAGAGATGTTTGAGGACAGAATTTCTGACCTAGAGCTCAGATCCGCTGATCGCGCATGAAGTCGCATGAGGTTTAGCTAATAAAATGGACAATGGAAAGGTTCTTTTCGAGACGGTTGCCGCCTAGATGTAAACGTGAACCATAAGGACATTGGTATTTTAAATACAATGCAAACGGATGTTTTTTCGCCGCAGGGAAGAACACGTCCATTGTGATTGACATTCGAGCTCAAATCTCCGGCTACTTCAAATGGTCGAACTTCTATAAGCAGTTAATTCAGTCTCTTTGTTTTGGTAAATTATCTTTTTATTAAAAGGTTGCAACGCTGCGTAAATTCGGCCAGCACATTTTCTGACCTATTTCATCTCTAACGGACGCCGAAATATCCGTCCAATAATTTCATTTGTTTTGGTTGAGAAATATGCAGATTACGCCCCATGTGGACGACGTGCCAAATGGATTCTGTCTAATTTGTTTTCTGAGACGTGTTTACGCCCTAGACTTCATCAGGCAGTAGGTTGTGATGGCTGGAAATTTTACCTTGAAATTCGTGCCGCCATGCTTAGACGCGTGTGAAGCGCGCTGACACGACTTCTGAGTATGGCGTGTTATCCTGTCATCTTCCGATGAAAAATAGGTATGCTACATTTTACCTTGCTTCTGACATAGGACTGGACCAAAAGACCAATTTTTAATGAGGGTTCTCACTGGCTGTCTGAGAAAAAGATTTTCAATTTTTCCTCATTTTTTTTTGTTTTATTAGCCAACAGCCATAGTTTGAACCCGCTTAAATAGGACACGTTCCGGCGATTTGTTGCGATGCGTGCGAATTCTGCTCAGTGAGTTCGCTACCTATAATAGGTCGACTAACTCATGAAATGTCAATCGAAATTCCGAAACGTGTTTTCCTTTCATAAAGAGTAATTAAGTAGGGTTGTGTAAATAATCCTCTACCGGTTTAATTCTATGCTAATTCAGTTAGCTCAGGAGCCCTATTGTTAACTTGCAAGCCCTTTTTTAAATGCAAAGACATGTCGTTTTACGAGCGCTCATTTCACGATATTAAACAATTTCACAATAAAAAACGATTTTGAAAACCGAATTCTACACCTACTTCGAGTATAAATCTCGAAGGAGACGTAATTTTCTACCAAAAGAACAGAATAACATATATTGTTAGGCATGTTTTCCTAAAATATAATTTAATTTCTAATGGCATCAAAAATCAGTGAAAAAATGCATGCTACCCAAGTAGTCATTTTTACAGAGAATAGTCGTTGCATGCAGCCGGAAAGAAGTTTATTCGAAAGCCGGCATCCTGAGGTAATTGAAGTATTATAGAAATTGCTATAGGATGATCGGTTTTGAAACCCCATTTAGTCAATCTTTTCGAAATTTAAACGCATTTCGGAATTTCGGCTGACATTTCAGAAGTTGACCCAAATATTGTACGTGCTGGAATTGTCTGAAAAATTTGATGTATTCGCAATACTGTGATAGACTCAACTACATTGAAACAGTCGTCCAGTGGATTGCCTAAACCATTCCCTGTCGTTGGCTCTGCACGAGTTCTTTTTGACCATACAGCCTGCCGAATGTAGCACTTTCAATGAGATTTAAAATGACGCAATCTCACTGCGCCTTGTACCCGAAAGTATCACATGTGTTCGTTCGTTGACTTCGGACGTTGATTTATTCTTCTAGCTTCTTTCTCCGACCAGCTGGCTGGGGCCTGGTACCTATAGTATTGATGTGAGGATTGCGTATTTGAACAGCATATGTCAGCTGGTACATTCTACTAAGTACAATTACGCATAACGATATACCAAACAATGGTAGGGGACGCTCACCGATTGTTCATACGGAACTCAATTGTTCCGTTGTGCTTTAAGGGCTCTCTCTCGAGCCCAACCAGCAGCCGCGCAGCGGCGCATGATATATAGGCAGAATGGTATTACCGACAGTCTCCCTTGTCTTTGTTGGTAATACCATTCTGCTTAGATCTACCAAACCCTCACATAGCCGTTCAACTATTTACTTCGGATGATGTGACGCCGTGTAAAGTTGGGAAAAGCTTCTCTAGTTCCGCCTGAAGGTTCGCAAGATTATTTATTCAAAGTGCACTTGCTTTGGCGGAATAGTTGCAAAAATTCAAGATTGCATAGGTGCCGGAAACACAGTACGTATTTAAATATTAAATTGCATTAACTTAAATATTAAATATGAAAATACTACCAACATAAATTCTAATTCAGATGCTCGACGCAATACTCAACTCAGCAGTGGCTACGAGTTAATTAATTAATGCAACTTTGAAAGATGAACGCGTAGCTGACAACAATGTCCAACCGAATATCTCATAGTTGCCGTGATATTCAATCAAAACATTCAATAAAACGCGCTTTCCGAATACGTCCAATATATTCACAATAATTGGCCCGAGTTCCGGGACCATATTCGAACCGCGTTATCTGTGAAATGCCAATAGCACTAGAAAAATGGAATTTAATCTGCATGGTCTTTCTTCGTAGTCGTGCCTGTAAGTGGTTTTTAGTAGGGGTTAGTGTTAGGGATTGCGGTTAGGGGTGAGGGGTTGTGGTTAGGGGTTAGAGTTATACTGGGGCTTGTCAACTGCAGGTACGGCTACGAAATAAGATCTGAACGATTAATCTGTGCGACTGAGAATTAATACTGACGAAATTGATGATATATGAAAATAGGAATGACCTGTCTCCTGGTGCTTATCGTCTTGGTAAAATAGTTTGGAAATAAACGCTCATATACTTTCAATTTCAAGGCTAATAATATTCTAATTAGCTCTGGTCGGACAATCTTTAGCTAACTGCACCCATGTCGAGTATTTCAACGAAGAGCCTTATGGATAAGGACGAAGGAAGACGGACGGATGAGGCAAGATGTAATTTATTCAAGGGGGGGTGACTACATGGGCAGGCCTATTCCTGCGCTTGTTCGACCTCCTCTGCGGCCTGTTCAGAGGTGATGGTCGCCTTGGCGGCGACCGCACCTGTCTCCTCGACAGCTGCTACCTCCCCCTCCTCCGTCGACGACTTTGGTTTCTGGACCTTGGGATCAACAGCGGCATCCACCTCGGCGTGCTGGATGGGAAGTTCGTCTGGAAAATATATAATTTGCTGAATATTACGCTTGAAGCAGCAGGTACCAATATATACCTATAACGTATGTGACAGCAACTTCAGGCAAATATCCCGATGAATTATCGGACAGATACAGTAGATTTGCTAACTCATTAAATGTCAACCAAAATTTCGGATTGCGTTCGCGTTTCGAAAAGATAAATTAAGTATTGTTGTAAAACTACTCATGATGCAGCATAAATCTATAATGATCCAGTTACCTCAGGGTGTCGGCTTTTGAGGGAACTTATTTTCGGCTGTATGCAGGATCTATACCCTGCGAAAAATGACTTCTAAAGTAGCACGCAATTTTCTCATTGATTTTCGATGTCCTTGATAATTCAATTATATTTCATGGAAAACGTCTGTAAAAATATATTCATTCTTTTATTTATTCGGTAGAAAATCACGTCCCCTTTCAATTTCATACTCAAAAAAGAATATAATTCGATTTTAAAAAACTTTCCTAATCCTCGGATAATTTTTAACCGGAACTGCTGTTACACTTGCATTCAGGGTTTCAAAACGACAAGCTGTATATTTTCTGTGTACGGAAAATCATGCATTTTTCTGCGGTGTTAAGATGAGACTATATGAAGTTCATAAAATTAAGCAGTGGATTTGAGCAATATTGTTAACTGTACAGGACACATTCGTAATGGCAGATACATGCCGTTTCATGAACGGCCATTTAACGGTATTAAAAATCTCACAATTAGCAACTGTTTTAAAACCGAATTATATCTTTCTTTCGAAAATAAAATTAGAAGAAGACGTGATTTTCTACCGAATAAGTAAAATACCTAATATTTTTATGCACGTTTTCCATGAAATATAATGGAATTTTCTGGGGCATTGAATTTCAATGAGAAAATTGCATGCTAGTTTAGTAGTCATTTTTTGCAGGGTTTAGATCTTGCACGCAGCCGAAAATGAATTCTTTCGAAAGCCGACCCCCTGACATAACCGGATTATTATAGATTTATGCTGCATAATGATTAGTTAAACAACAATACTTAATTTATCTTTTCGAAACGAGAACGCATTTCGAAATTTTCATTTAAATTTCACGAGTTAGCACATCTACTGTATGTGTTTCTGGAAAGTGGTAAGCAGTTGTTTTGCTATGTGGGATAAAGCGGATAAGCGGCAAAGCAGAATTGGGCATGATAAAGTCCATCGGAAAGTTTTGTTTAAATGAGATGCAATCTACGGTTCCTTTAAAGGCGATTCTAGTTGCAATGTCGTTGAACGCGAAAATCCCGTGAAATCAGTTTCTCCGATAGATGTACGTAGACTATGCAATATTGATAAGGTTTTTGATACATTGTGATCAGTAAATGGACTTCAACGTCATTGTACTGTTCATGATGTTTGAGAAATCAGCAAAGACGCGAATCGTACCTGACATGCTGATGATTCTGGCTGTGAAGGAAACCTTTGTTCAGAGGTCTATCTATTAGTGCTACCTATTTATATTCATGGACTGGAAGCTTGTTTACGTTGGATACAAGTTCGCGTTTGCTCCGACCCTATGCTTGGTAGTAAACAAGTTTCGTATAAACTGATTAAGTTTGGTCGAGTGATCAGCTGACAATATTCCAAGTATGCAATGCTCAATCGGTATCAACAATTTTTTCAAAAATAGGGAGTGGTTTCTCAAATAAGGGAGAGTTTTGGCCATTTGGCAAGCACACATTCATACGTTGGCTAATACGAATTTTGTTTGTGTTGACTGAACTATGCCTGCACATGATGGGTAGATTTTGCCGGTTAGAAGATCATTTTACCGTGTTGATTCAAGGAAGTTACCTTTTATCCACCGACTGCTAACCGCATAAACTTAATTGGCGCGAATTTTTTCCGTTGATTTTCAATGCCGTCATGCATTCTGATACATGAACAGGGCTAAGGCGGCAATACGTGCAGGATTTATTGACGTCACAAAGTTTCTTTGCCTATTATGAAACTGCACACGGTCATTTCATATTTACAAGAAGAGGTAAACCGTTTAACCAAAGATCATCCTAGGGGGATTAGACATAATAGGTGAACAAGGCATAGCCTACTTTTATTCGTGGCATAGAATTTGTTTCACGTCGACTACAAGGTGGTATTTTCCCCAACTCTATGCATGGTCGTAAACAGGTTCCCTGCAAACGGATTTAAGGTGTTTGAGGTTATCAGCAGTAAATGTTCCAAGTAGGCAATAACCACTTGCTGTCAACAATTTTCTCCAAAACTTTGGCGAATCTTCTGCCTAGGGAGAGTTTCTTGGGCATTTGGCACTTCAGTTAGCGATCTAAATCATGAAATGGGTCGAAAATTACGAATGATTGTCAACCTCTCGCAAATCGTCACTATTTCTTGAGTCCAATGTCTATGGTAATTAAGTACAAGTTTAAGAGCATTAAAAACACATAACTTGTAAAGACCTTGTTGCGCTGTATAGAAAGCCCGATATTTTTTCATAAAATCGTAATATCCCAAAAACGCCAGAAATGGCCCTAATTTAGTAAACTTCGTTTTAAGATTAAAGAATGTATTTTCATATCATTACCATAATAAATATGAAAGTAGAAATAACAAAATGTCTTAGAATAACGTTTCGATTATGTTTTCATCTTCATATCGTTAAATAATTAGTGTGATTTCATATATGATGGTTTCTCAACTGCCTACATTCTGGGTGCAGATTCCAAAGCAGATTTCCAGGGTTTCGTGTTATTTTTGATTTTTTGGAGCACATGAGATAGGGTTCAACAACAGACGCTGGATTTTGCTTGATTTCACCGATGGGGACATCGTAGAAACAAAGGCTTTCATAAGCTGACATGCCATGCGGCCGGCTGGTGCCTTAAATTTAAATAGAACTGAGAGGCATGATCGCAAACGTACCATTTTGTGCTCATAGAGAGAACATTTCTTCCGTTAAATTAATCTTTAATTTCGTTAAATTTCAGATCGGTTTCAAAATGCTGCTGAATACTTCATGATTTTCAGTGTTTTCATCCGATCGAACATAAAGAGAGATTCTGAATTGCCTGTCTGTTAAGAACCTTAAAATAAGATAATTATTGAAGACATTTACTGAATTAATGAGTTTTCTGGCGCCTCTTTTCACAAAGACGGTCGTTGGGGTCAAAAGTGAAGACTCATTCAAACGTTAAACTGCATTTTGGGGAAGCATAGCTGTTGACAACGAGAGTCAGCAACAAATATGACTTTGATCAATAAAAAAAATTTCCTTAATAAGCTATCTCTATAAGAAGTGCTTTATTAGTGCACGCCGTTGGCGGATCTCTGTGTATTATGCATTTTTGCACGGTGAGCCCAAGTAAAAATTTGGCACTTTTGACCGTTTCTCCCACGTTCCTAAACAATACTGTTTTTTCTACCGTAAGCGTAAGAACATGCCTTCCTCTATACCTTGAGGCCATTTCCACTGCTTTTGATCGCATTTAGACTCCGTTCTTATGTTGTGAATACACGGCAGAGCGCCCATATAAATGCCGATATTTTGAGGAAACTATTAATGTTTTGTTTGTTCCATTTCTGACTAAGTTATGCGCAGGAACTACGCTATATGACAAGTAGTGTTTCATATGTTAAGAACTGGCCATGACCATCCGTTGGCAGTCATGTAATTGACATCAGGTAGCATTTTCTGAACGACGAAACTATTTCAGACCATTTAAACGAAGAAATCCCTATCTGCGTTATTACTGCACTTTCGGGCATCAAACTGCACAGATCTGCTGATGTTCAACTTAGGACTTCATAAAACCTCTGGTTTTTTAAAAGTAACTTTTGTGTTAACAGATTAATTACCACGGTTAACATGGGAAATAAAATAAATTTTCAAGTCCGACCAGATCTGTTTATTAATGCTCTCGCTGGCAAATTACTATCCTTTCAATGAAAAAGCCGCTTAGATGCGTAACCGGAGTCTCTGATATGTATCAGCATAGGAAATAGAACAAATATCTTCCAACGCCTATTTTCGCTAAAATTTACTGATATTTTACTTCATGTAAATATATAAACACAATTTCTGCCCAACTGAAGTACATTTCATTGAAGGAAGTGGATGAGCGAACAAAATATTCAACGTTAAATGCTTCCAGAAAAAGTTTCGCATCAGTTTCCGTCTTTGGGTTTCATGAGATAGGTTACATTCACAAGCATACATTGGAAAAAACGTCATTCCGCAAACTGGAACTGAGAATCGGGTTGCAGAACGGCTAGATGAATCCCATGATCTACGAAGACCAGATAGTGCACGTCGACTACAAGGTGGTACTTTCCCCAACCCTTTGCACGATAGCAAACAGGTTCCCTACAAACGAATTCAAGGTGGTTGACGTTATTAGCCGAAAATGTTCCAAGTAGGCAATAATCATCCACTGTCTACCCCTTTTTCCAAAAATCGGGAGTGGTTTCTGAATGGAAAGTTTTTGGCCCTTTGGCACATGCATGCATACACAAATACGTTGGCCAACACGAATTTCGCTCGTGTAAACTGAACTGTGCTGGCACATGTAAGGTAGATTTTGCAGTAAAGAAGATCATAGGGGTGGAGTCTGCACGTGTCAGTTTCAGTCAAAGTGCACCTGCTTCAGCGGTATAGGCGCGAGCCTTGAATAAACGCAATTTTTTCGGAAAAATAATTCACCCGAAGTAAGAAATATGGCCATAATACCGAAATTCATTCTTGTTCAGTTGTCCGGCGCATGACTGAACTCAGCAGAATGCCCTTTTATTTGTTCGATGCATAATTGCCGCACTCTGGCGGCCGGTGGAATGATGAACTTTGTGGAAACCAGTCCTTTAGCGAAATCACCCAATGGATCTCCATGACAAGACCATGATTCTCAAATTCAAAATCCAGAACCTGTTACTGATTAGGCGTTTGATATTCTCGTATAACCTTGGTTTTTTAAGGTCTGAACTGCCAGTTAGCCCGTCTGGCATAGTGGGTGATTAAGCTGATTTATCGGTTCCTACCCCATGTGACCCATCCGCCGCTTTAACAAATGTGAGATCCATTCATTCCGCGCACTGTTTGCTGGATGGGGGTAGGTACGGCTATGACAATCGTAGAAGTGTTATCTTAGGTTCTGTTGACCGCTGAGCTCAGGCTTTGCGTCAGACTGATTCTGAAACTAGTCGACTGCCTGAGAGAAGAAAGATAAATTGATGGGGATTCTTGGCGCATTTTCCCTGCAACTAAGAGCCTGAGGTGTATGAAATAATCATAGGACATTAAATGGTCTTGGTTCGAAGACATCCGACGGGCGGGAAGACTCGACTGCAAATACTCAACGTTCAAGTGTCCTCTATGGAACTCCTACTACGTAGGACACCTTGCATGGCACGCGTAGACGAGTGGATATGCTTTGTCGACTACCCGCCGGTTCCCGCTCCTTGTCTTTCCGAATTCGTCGAGATCAGGAGGGCGAGGGAGTTGACAGCGTAGTAGGTGCCGTGCATGCCTATTGTCATCCTAAACCAATTCGCGCGCACGTCAGCGTCCATGCGTTAAACGGGCTGTGGGACACAAATGGCCGCAAATGCGGGTTTTGACTGACTAACTGACGTACGAGGGACAGTCGCCGAGGATTATTATCGCGAACTTTGACTGCAGTCTTTGGACTGGCCAGTAACACGAAGAAGACATTGGTCATGCATCAACCGACAGCAGTGTGAAAGAAAGTGTCCGCGCACATCCACTCAACGCATGGGCCTGTTCGGTCACATAAGTATTCACGACTACGGAATTAACCACGCTCTCGAGACACCAAGACTGGCTTGCAGACATGACAGATCTCGCGTCTACAGCAGTGTCCGCGATTGTTGAAATTCCGGGTGTACATTGGTTAGCTGACGTACAGAGGTACGGTCTTGATGAATCCTTGTCGTGGTCCTCGGACTGACCATCGGCATGTAGGAGCCTGACTGACCAATACATCAATGTCAGCAGAACCGGCTTCATTACACTGGCTAAATTCTTCCAATTTTGGACGGCAATGTCAAGGCGTATCGAGATCGACTACGAAGTTTCCCGCCAGACCAACAAAGCCGGCCAGATTTTCGATCGCTCTCACGCATCAGTTGGGGATCGTTGCGACCTTCTTCTACCCAAACCCCGATTCGAATCTTCATATGCATCGACAGTTCACGCTGAAGAGGCGATTGCGTGGGCCGGATACCTAGATCGATCGAGAAAACTCGACCATGTCTGAAGAATAATAATTCCGTTAAAACAGGTCAGGATCCCGTACTTGCAAGTCGTGAAAGACACCCGAATCCGCAGTGCCCATGCCGTATCGGCGGAATAAATGTGCAATGTAACTGATTTTATCCCGAGAACTTATGACAGCGACTTCCTGAGCGACCATTTTACGATGATTTCTCTGGGTTTGCTGGCCGAAAATAAAGGCACGATCGAGGTTACTGTGACGTAAAAATGACTTCTCTAAAGAATTTTCAATTTTTTAACTTTCCAAACCAACAAATTACTGCAAAACAACTTCCACGCGAAGTTGAAATTTCTTTTGATAACTGCGCGCCATGTCGAATAGTCCTGTAATGAGCACTTTTCAGAAAAACAAAAAGTGTGGAAAGGTGAGTTAAGAATTAATTTATTCAAAGGGGTGGGAGGACTACATGGGCAGTCCTATTCCTGCGCCTGTTCGACCTCCTCTGTGGCCTGTTCAGAGGTGATGGTCGCCTTGGCAGCGACCTCGCCGGTCTCCTCGACAGCTGCTACCTCCCCCTCCTCCGTCGACGACTTCGGTTTCTGGACCTTGGGATCCACAGCGGCGTCCACCTCGGCCTGCTGGATGGGAAGTTTGTCTGGAAAAAATATGATTGGTTGTATAATGGGCTTGAAGCGGGACGGAGAGCAATTTTTTAGATTCGTGCACAATATAAATCTTAAACCTTCTCCAACGGAGGAGAGTTTATCCTATGCTCCTTAACACTGATTATTAGAGCACATGCATGAACAGACATTTCCACGTATCTCTTGTCGGTTCTTAGTCTGAATCACCCCTGCCTGCCTGTCGCCCAAGGTGAGTAGATTAGGTCAGTAGGCGTGATCGGAGTCAACTTGTGTTCACTGAAATTCGTTCAGCCCGCGTTGGCTTCATTCAGTCTAAACTGTTCTCTTAACTGAGTTGGCGAAATGCAAGGCTGCTCTCCGTGTAGACTGAGACTCACTATAAAGACGAGGAAACCTTGTGGAATTGCTAACTCCGACAGAAGCGTATACGCCGTGCAGTTGCTATTAATTTTGCATGATTTTTAATACTCAAGTGGAACCTGACACAGAGTCACAACTCACCAGACATGATGATGCTTGCTACGAAGGGAACTTTTCTTCGGAGATTTATCTAATATCATTGCCTATTTATACTTGTGGCATGGCGGCTCGTTTACGTTGATCACAAGGTCGTATTCGCCCCAACTCCATGCATGGTAGTAAACAATTTACCGATCGGACGATGTTAGGTGGTGGAAAGGTCCGCGGAATATTTAAAGTACCAAATGGCCCCTTGGCAAAATGGTCGTCAGTGAGTGAACTCAGCTCTCTATTGGGCACGGTAATTTAACAAGCGTAATCTGCTTCGCGGCTCTGAAGGTTGCGACAACGTTAATTTCGAGGACATTGGCAATTAACGCCAACTGAATTCCATAATATTATGTGCCATCGGTTTATGAGATCTGCGCTCGCCTTCATTCCCAGAAGCTTCTTCTCCACCTCGGAAATATTATTCTTTCACATTTAGGGAATGATGTAGGAGGAAGTAAGTGCAGGGAGTCACACGCCGAGGAATCTGTCAACTAGCATGTCGGGGAGACGACTTGGATGTTCATCGTGGCAAACTAATCAGAGCAACGAACCAAAATGAACTCGAAGCATTTTAACAGCGGCTTACACGGGCATGTCAAAACACCTTTTTCGAACCGTCATCGTCGCGTTTGGTCGAAAGAAACACAGTCGTGTCAACGCCCATTAACAGGCTACTTAAATGGGTTGTAGGCGAGGTGGCGAAATTCAAGGCCATTGCATGAAGGCTCTGTAGCGACCTGGCTGCAATCACCAGCCCGCATCCTGTTCTGTATTTCACAAGTCATCGAAAGTTAGAGAGCTCAATTTCAACAGTTTTGCGCTCTCAAAATCATCCCAGCAATCACAGACTACTGTCAACATCAACCGAAAAGATAAAAACGGATTAGAGCAAAAGAAAAAGCGCGAAGCTGGCTTTAGGTCCTCAAGGGCATGGACATCTTATTTCATAAATAAATTTACTTTCTGATTTAGACAAACATCACAGTATCCGTCGGAATTTAGCAAACTTGATGGAGGAGATCCGGACAGGAAAGTTTCTAAAAGTAATTGGCTCATTGCCGAATGATTTCGTGAAAAGCATCTTATTTAGTCCATACCAACAAACACAATTAGCTCTGCCGAAATTATCGCCGAAAAGAGACCGATTGCGGAAAAGGGCATATATGCTTTATTTTGGAAACATCTTTCCAAAATTTTAGGCAAAAATGGCTTCCATTCATAGTGTATAAAAATTGTTACGCAAAACACATAACACCGTACGGTCACAGGCGACATTGAATGGCCAAAAACTGAAACGGTCGACATCATAAAGAGTCGCTAGAATAGGCGGGCTTACTCACAAATGTCAACCGCAATTCCGAAATGAGTTTTCGTTTCAAAAAGGATGAATTAAGTAGTTTTTTAGACCTAATCAGCCTGCAACATAATTCTATAACATTTCGGTTGCCTCAGGATGCCGGCTTTCGAAGAACGTCCTTCCGGCTGCGAGCAAAAACCACACTCTGTAAAAAATGACTAATTACGTAGCATGCATTTTTTTCATTGATTTACGATGGCTCTCTAACTCAATATTTCATGGAAAAAATGCATAAAGATATTCATCTTTTAGCTCATCCGGTAGAAACTTACGTTTTCTTTCAATTTTATCCTCGACGGAAGTATACAATTCGGTTTTAAACCACTTTTCCAATTCCCGAATAATTTTGAACCCGCTCTACCGTAACACTTGGATTCAAGGTTTCAAGACTGCAAACCGTATATTTTCGCGAAAGGAAAACCACGCATTTCGGTACGGCAATAAAGAATGACCATAAAGGATTTATAAAATATAGCAGTGGATTTGAATCATATTGTTAACTTTACAAGCCACATTGGTAAATGCAGAGATCTGACGACTTATAAACGGTCATTTATCGGTATTTAAAAGTCCCACAATTAAAAACTATTTTAAAAACCGAATTATGTCCCTCCTTCGAGTACACCATTAGACGAAGACGTAATTTATATTGAATGAGCGAAAGAATGAATGTCTTCATGCATGTTTTCCATGAAATATAATTGAAGTTGTAAGGGCATCGAAAATCAATGGGAAAATTCATGCTAATTAAGCAGTCACTTTTTACGGAGCACTGTTTTTGCATGTAGCCGAAAAGAAGTTCTTTCGAAAGCCAGCATCCTTGATTAGCGGAAATATTATAGAATAATGTTGCAGGTTGACTAATTTTACAAACCTACGCAATTAATCTTTTCGAAACGAAAACGCATTTCGGAATTTTGGTTGACATTTTATGAGTAAGCCCACGTATGGTATGAAAGGCACGTTTGTTCCATGAAGTTGATTTGCATATTTATATTGTTCTGGATAACGTCGAATTTTATGTCGACCTTGAACTATCCCCGAACGCTTCATGATTTTCTGTGATTCCAATGGATTGCTGAAAGGAGCAGATTGTTCAATACTTGTTTACCAAATCCTGAAAAAAGGAACATTTGAGGGCATTTACTGAGACCGTATGGATTTAGGTGTTCCTTTTCATGTAGGTAGTCCTATTAGGACACAATCAAAGGCTCGACCAAACGTGAAACATTGTCAAAAATCAATTGGCTAACATAGGTTTTCGATAATTCTTCATCAGGCCTGTACATTTACAAGGGAAATGATCAGTCTAATTGTCGACAGGGTATAAATGCGTCTCGGGGGCAGGGTTAATCGAATTCCATGTTCCCACGCCGCCCGCATGACGGAGTCAGCGGGTTGAGGACGATGGAGTTGGGGTGGAAGGGGGGAAGGAGTTGGAATGGGAGGGGGGAAGTTGAGCGGTTCCGGTTAAATTTGTGGGCTCTGTGAGTGCGTTTGACTGCTTTCAGTGCTTCGGGACGGCGTGCGGTCACCGTCTGGAGTCGGCCAGGGCAGACAGATTGTTTTTGTCAGCGTCCTCTGACAACAAAGTGCTGGGTTCGCCAGTTGAATGGCCACTGTTTCGGCTGTGGCTAGCACCCGTTTGCGCAGGCCTTTAGAGTAGTGTGCCGGTGCCCGGTAGATAACTTTTATATCTTCTTTAGCGTCGGTTTGATAGTTCCTATCAATTAGATGTGCGAGAATTGAACTCTAAATCGATCGAAGTTCACCTCTGCCTAGCCACGCAGGCATGTGTTCGCGTATTCTCTTTTTCAGACGCCTGGTTGTACGGCCAATATATCCCGCTCCAGCAGGTGAATGAAGAAATACACATGGATGTGGCCTGTAACGGCAGTGGGTTTTTGCCCCCAAACCGTAGGAGGGGGGAATTTGTGAAGTATACGCGCAAGTTCTTTGCGGGGAAGGCACTCGCGAGATCTGTCCTGAGACGTCGTCTGGCTAATTCGCTTGCTGCGTCTACTAGAAAAGGCAGTCTTAGAAATAAGTTTTTCTTCTCCGCAGTTGCAACGGCCAGTTTTGGGGCCCGCTCTCTAATATTCCGGAGGATGAATCGCTCTGGATAACAGTTTTCGCGGAGCGTGTTTTGCAGCTGCCGGAGTTCTGCTTCAACAGTTTCAGGAGAGCAGATGCGTCGCACTCTAGCCGCCAGTCCCTGGACTAAATTTCGTTTAGGATTTAAGGGAACAAAACTGTGAAAATTAATGTATTTTCCCGTCTA